TTCTTGTCAACAAACTTACCCAGACTTTGAAATGCATGTGGGAAGAGAAGCCAGTCACTGAAACAGACCTGTCCATTCCTCCTTGGTGTCAGAACCCCCATCCTGCTTCCTCCTAATGTCCTCTTCCTTTTCTACCCCTTGGTCCTATTTGTGTCGTCTTTTCCTCCACTGCATGTTAACTTGCTACCCTGCTGTGTAATATCAATAATTAACAATGGGGCCGGCCCAGTGGCGCACTGCTACAGTGCGCCGCTTTGGAGTGTGGTGGCGCTCCCGCCGAGGGTTCGGATCCCACATACAGACCGGTTCCCGGTCACTGGCTGGGCGAGGTGTGGGAGCAACACCGAGGGTTGCGATCCCGTTGCCGGTCCCGGTCCGGTACGGGCGCGACACTGAGGGTTGCGATCCGTTGCCGGACACGAAAAAAGACAAAAAGGAAAAAATAAATAAATAAATAAACAATAATAATAATTAACAAAACATCAGCTGCTATTTGGTCTGTAGTCACAGGAGTAGTCTTCTGAGTGCTCATCAGAGAAGTAAAAATGTGGGTCACTGTCCCCCAAGACTATATAAGCTGAGGTTAGATGGTGGGTTTGAGAAAGGTTTGGTTATATGCGTGGGCATAATTCCATAGGGGATTATTAAACTGAAATTAGACAGGGATGATGTCATGGGTGGCATCTACTTCAGTATTTGGTGTTGTTTCATTAAAGTGAGTGTCCAGGTTTATTGGATTGGATCCCTCTCACTTTTGGAGGAGGCAGGATGGTGAGAGAAATATGCAGAATTGTTTCGTAGGGGTACAAATGATCAGAGAAATAACTTTGATCACCTTTCCTTTGTTTTTTTTTCAGGTTCAACTTCTTGTCTTTGTTCTGCTTCATGTACTGTATGAAGATGGTGTGGTAGATTTCTGTGCTTTAGTCAAAAAGCCATGTAGACTGCCTGCCCTTTGAAGACCACTTTTAATGTGTCTAGTAAGACAGATGGTAAGTCTCTTAGGGAAGAGCATGTTGGTCTTTGTTTCTTCCCTGCTCTAGATGGTTTTGTTCTCGATTTATAAAGTGTTATTCCACTTGCATTTCTTTGCATAGGTTTTTTGTTTGCTTTTAATATTTCTCATTTTTTAATGTTTAGGGAGAGTATTTTTTGATGAGAAAATTTTTGGAAAGCACTTGGAGTTCTTGAGGGAAAACTATAAAAGCATACACGCTCATATATATAGTAATGTTATGAATGAGTACTAAATACACATATCTGTGATAGAATTTGGGATATGGAAAGTGGATTCTGTAGCATTCTTTTAAAAAAATTTTTTTTAAGTGAGAGTTTATTAGAGTATGATAATGAGGCTTGGTAGTAGGCAGTCGTCGGAAACTTTGAGATTGGCCAGGAGAGTTGGTGGTAGGTAAGAAAGAAAAGAAAACTTTGGAGGGGCAATTGGGAGAGATAGAAATCCCATGCGTAAGTCTGATTCAAACCCAGCAAGGCTGAGCTCTTAATCTCTATTATAATGTCTATGTAATTTATAACATAATGCCTCTTTAGTATGGGCCTTCCTTGGGTGTTCGTTATTGCCACTTATGGCCAGATGGGATTATTGAGACACATCTTTCTGAGGTGGATGGTTAACCCATTACTTTTACACGTTTTCTTCATTATGTTTGTAAGTTAAAGATCATTTTTAGAGATTTTTTCTTCAGTACTAAATTATTATATTTTTCTTTTTTTATAGTCCTTCTAACTCTAAATACATTTTCTAAAGGACAGGATAGCTGCTGGGTAATTTGGAAGGAGTTAATACTTTCTGAAGAAAAACATTTGTTTTCTTAACACTCTATCACCCTTTTAGCTTTAGACCAAAAAAAAAAAATGATATGCCACTGATACAGGAGATAGGAAAAATATTGTCAGTAGTAATATCTTTAAAAATAGAAGTTATCAAAATTGGAAATGTTATTAAATTTTGTAAATTAATGTTTTTGAAATTAATAAAGGGAGACCTTGTGATTATAAGTGTAACTAATCTATACTGTTGTTTGAGGAGTGGTTGCATGGAATCAATATATCTTTACCCTGCTGTTACCATCAGCACAGAGCACATTGCATGTTCTCAGTAGTGGCTGGTACTTTTGGTACATGATGGAGCATAATTTAATGAGAATAGACTTTGTGATCCATTTGCTGAGTAAACTCACTGTGTGTGTTAGCTACAGAATCTATTTTAGCAGTTGTTGGATCTCATTCTGAGAATAGCATGCTAGAAAAGGAAGATGGAAGTGGTGGAAACGGTGAAGAATGGAAGAGAGTCCAGAATAGAGTCATATACACAAAATTTAGTAAATGCTAAGTGGAGCATTACACATCAGTGAAGAAAAGGGTAATGCAGTCAGTGTTGAGACAACTGATTCCAAATGAAAAAACAGGCTGGATCTCTACCTCCAAATATAGTAGATGGATTTAAGATGCAAATGTGAAAAAAGAATGAAATCATCAAAAATCAGGAAAAACCGTTAGGTGATTTGAATAAAAGTGAAGTAGGAAAGCAAAATTTAAACATCATAAGGAAACCGTCTTAAGTTTTTATGTAAACCAATTGTGTGTGTTAAAAAAATTACCATAAATATAGTTGAGATGAATGATAAACTGGGAAAATATTTTCAGTAAAAGGGCTGACTTCTTTTACATATACAGAGACTGTTTACAAATCATTAAGGAAAATGAACCAACACTTCATAGGAAAATAGATATGTTGCTAATAAGGGAATATGTTCAGTCTTTCTCATTAAAGGAAATCACATGAAAACAGTAGTGAGATACCACTTTTCACCTAAGTAGGTACATGGATTAGGTGTTTAATTATACTGTGTTGAGGAGGAAGTTGGTCAGATTGTCCCTAATACACACTGTTGGTATATACAAGTGCTACAACTTTTTGAGAGTTTGGTAAATTGTATCAGTCTTAAATGCAGATGGACTTTGAGTCAGGTAATTCACCTCTGGGAATTTTCCCTGCAGAAATACTCTCACATGCAAAGATAGGTGCAAGGAAATTCAGTGCTTACACTGTATGTTGCGAAAATGTCCCAGACAGATTCTTAAATGAAAGCAAGTTGCCAAATAATATGTTTAATATCATCCCATCCATGTAAAACATGTGTGGGGATTTGTAATTGCCTAGAACATTTCTCCAGTGACACCTAAGTACAGTGGCTACCCCTGGGAGTGATACTGTGAGTATCTTCTACTATGTGAAATGAGTGTCTTTTTAACTATGAGCTTCTTTTACCACCTAAGAAGACTAGTTAAAATTTTTAAAAGTCATCTTTCGTGGCAACTAAGTTCCAGCTCAAAGGGTATCCTCTCTCTGAATTGCCCTTAGCTTGATACACTCGTCACATCATTCGAGATCTCTGATGGAATGTTCTATTCAGGGAGATCTTACCTGACAGCCTCTCTACATTGCTGTCTACACTCTTATTTCCCAACTAATGTAAGTGCCATATTGAAAGGTACTACTTTAAACCTAGTTGCCTAGAACAGCAAAGGACACAAAGTGATTCGTTTATTAAATAAATGAATAAAATATATTAGGGTGGATAAAACATTACTAGATATGTTGACATTGAATCAAGCCAGCATCAGGTTAAAAAAAGAAAAAAATCCATCATTTTATAGCTAGATTTAAAGTGCTTTCTGAAAAGAATTTAAAGTTTCTTGCTCAGCCTTAGATATCCTAGATTTAATTTTGATAGGTACTCATCTTTGTGTGTTGATGACTTATTGATTCAGAGTTAGAGAGTCAAAGTACAAAGCATATATAGTAGGTAATTCTGGGATCAGGCTCAAGTCACTGATAGTCCTATAACTTGGATCAGAGAGATTAAGTCATTCCATTTCTCTGAACCTCAGTTTCTTCTCTGTAAATGAAGATAATACCTGAGTCATATTGTTAGGATTAAGTGAGATAATGTAGAACTCCAAGCAAAGTGCCTGAGAATGAGTTAAAAATTAGTTCTGTATCTCCTTTCTCTTCAAAATCTTTATACAGATATTATCTAATAAAGCATACACCAAGCAGGCTTAAAATTACACCCTTTTAGAATGGACGAGGGCAGCATTTTATTGAAAATTGTGTCCCCCCCAAATAATGTATTTCTTCTTCATTGCAGCAATATTGAAAGTTTCCAAAGAATATAATTGTGTGTGTGGTAGCAGAAAGAAGAATGGAAGTATTCCAGGAAGTTCGTAAACCATCAGCACGTTTGGAGTGTGATCACTGCAGTTTCAGAGGCACAGATTATGAAAATGTACAAATCCATATGGGTAGCATACATCCAGAATTTTGTGACGAAATGGATGCTGGTGGATTAGGTAAAATGATATTTTACCAGAAAAGTGCAAAGCTATTTCATTGCCATAAATGCTTCTTCACCAGCAAGATGTATTCTAATGTATACTACCACATCACGTCCAAACATGCAGCCCCAGAGAAATGGAATGATAAACCGAAAAATCAGGTGAACAAAGAAACAGATTTTGTGAAAAACCCTCCTCCTCCTGAACACCAGAAAATGCCCTCTAATTCAGCAGAACTCCTGAAACCCATACCTGCCCTTTCCATTGAAACACAGAAACTTGGTCCAGTTTTATCTCCAGAATCACCAAAACCTACTCCTCTTACTCCCCTGGAAGCTCAGAAACCTGGGCCTGTTTCTCCTGAGGTACAGACACCTCCTCTTCCTTCTCCTGAGCCCTCAAAATCTGCCCCTATTTCTTCTCCTGAACTTCCAAAACCAGTTCCTGTTTCTGAATCTCAGAAACCTGTCCCCGTTCCTTCTCCAGAACAACAGAAACTTGCCTCTGTGTCTCCTGACCCCATGAAGTCTACTCTAATTAATCCTAAACCCCAGAAACATTCTCATTTCACAGAAACACTGGGGCCACCTTCAGCCTCATCTCCAGAGTCACCAGTTTTAGCTGCATCCCCTGAACATTGGGGGCCATCCCCAACTGCATCTCCAGAATCTCGGAAGCCAGCCCACACTACCTCCCCTGAGCCAAGGAAACCATCCCCATCGGAGTCTCCTGAACCTTGGAAGCCATTTCCTGCTATCTCCCCAGAGCCTAGGAGACCAGCCCCAGCTGTGTCACCAGGATCCTGGAAGCCAGGGCCACCTGGGTCCCCTAGGCCTTGGAAGTCCAGTCCTTCAGCATCATCTGGACCTTGGAAGCCAGCTAAACCTGCTCCATCGGTGTCTCCTGGGCCTTGGAAACCAATTCCTTCTTTATCACCTGGACCTTGGAAACCAGCTTCATCTGTGTCCCCTGCATCCTGGAAGTCTTCATCAGTCTCACCTGGTTCCTGGAAATCTCCCCCTGCGTCCCCTGAGTCATGGAAGTCTGGCCCACCAGAACTCCGAAAGACAGCTCCCACCTTGTCACCTGAACATTGGAAGGCAGTTCCCCCATTGTCTCCTGAGCTTCGCAAACCAGGCCCACCACTGTCCCCAGAGATCCGTAGTCCAGCGGGATCTCCAGAGCTCAGAAAACCCTCAGGGTCACCAGACGTTTGGAAATTTTCTTCTGATCAGCGGAAAACTTCTCCTGCTTCACTTGATTTTCCTGAGTCCCAGAAAAGTTCCCGTGGTGGTTCTCCGGATCTCTGGAAGTCTTCCTTTTTTATTGATCCTCAGAAACCTACTGTCTTCCCTGAGACCCGGAAGCCAGGTCCTTCTGGGCCATCTGAGTCCCCCAAATCAGCCTCGGATATCTGGAAGCCTGTCCTCTCTATCGATACTGAGTCTAGAAAACCTCTCTTTCCTGAGCCTATCCAAACAGCCCCTCCTGTTTCTCCTGAATCACGAAAACGTGCTCTTTTTCCAGAGCCCCGGAGGCATACCCTTTTCCCCGAACTTCCCAAATCTTCTATATTCTCAGAATCTCAAAAGGCAGTTGAGCTTGGTGATGAACTACAAATAGATGCTGTAGATGATCAAAAGTGTGACATTTTGGTTCAGGAAGAACTTCTAGCTACACCTAAGAAACTCTTAGAAGACACTTTATTTCCTTCTTTAAAGAAGCCCAAGAGGGATAACCAAGAAAACTCAGATGCTGAGCTCAGTAGTAGTGAGTACCTAAAAACAGATCTGGATGCAGTAGATGTTAAGGGCCAGGAATCGAGCAGTGATCAAGAACAGGTTGATGTGGAATCTGTTGATTTTAGCAAAGAGAACAAAATGGACATGGCTAGTCCAGAGCAGTCCAAAAATGTACTTCAGTTCACTGAAGAAAAGGAGGCTTTTATCTCTGAAGAGGAGATTGCGAAATATATGAAGCGTGGAAAAGGAAAGTATTATTGCAAAATTTGTTGCTGTCGTGCCATGAAAAAAGGTGCTGTTTTGCACCATTTGGTTAATAAGCATAATGTCCATAGTCCTTACAAATGCACAATTTGTGGAAAGGCTTTTCTTTTGGAATCTCTCCTTAAAAATCATGTAGCAGCACATGGGCAAAGTTTACTTAAATGTCCACGTTGTAATTTTGAGTCAAATTTCCCAAGAGGCTTTAAAAAACATTTAACCCATTGTCAAAGCCGACATAACGAAGAAGCAAATAAAAAGCTAATGGAAACTCTTGAACCGCCACTGGAAGAGCAGCAGATTTGATGTGTAAACACTGTGTGAGTATTTGCTCTAAAAAGTTTTGTTGAAACCATTCTTTGAACGTGTAGTGTATTGAATGGTCTGGTTGGGTCGGTAGGTGATATGTACTGTGTACTGTGTTTAATTATCTCGGTAGTGTTAAAAACAAGCATTTGGTTATTTTTCATGGTCTCTATTTATGTCACTGTCTTGTAAATCAATAAATTCCTACTGTTATTCCAGATGGATAAAACTTCTCACTTCTTTTAAGTATATTTGAATGATAATACAAAGGGATAGACATTCCATTTAATCAAGAGCAGGTTGTACTCAAAACATCTAGTTAAAGTGTATTTTTGTGTGTGTGAAACTAATTTCAGACAATAGAAATTATTAGTTGGAATGTTTAAGAATTAGGCATGAAAAATTTGAGAAAGATTTTGTTCCCTTTCCTTAAGGTGTATTTTGAGATCATAAGAGTTATTTTTTTGTGTGTGTAAAATTAGTTTATAAATCTTGAGCAGTTTCTTGATGTTTATTATTAGCTTTTATGTCATGGAAAGTTAGAGTCTCAGGGTTGCTGATTTTCTGCTAATGGGGAAAATTGAGTAAGTTTTTAAAATAGTGTGCAGCCTTCTCCTACAGGAGACTAAGAGAAAGATTAGTGTGATTGCAGGTCTGTCTTTGTCTTCAGTTGTTTCCTGTGGAGTCTTCCATTCTGTATACTCTAAGATCTGGCATTTCACTTCCCTGCCAGCTCACCTTAATTGCCAAATGTGTTAGAGGAGCTTGTATCTCCTACTCCTGGGCCTTACACATCGCCTGTTGGGGCTTAAGACCAGGGTAATGAGTAGAAACTGAAAGTCTTCCAGATTCACAATAGAAAATTTTATGAATAGACATTGCTGTTTGAGAAATACATCAATTTTGTTTTTCACAGTTCTGTTACTATTAATACCTTGTACCTGTTCATGGATTATTTTATTCTGAAATATTTTGCCAAATGTGTGTCAACTAAATTAAAAACAAAGGCTTTCATGTCAGCAGTGTCTTCGTGTATGGGTTTTTTTTTTAAATGTAATTTTCATTGCATATCCAAATTCCATTATGTTTTCCTATTTCCACTTGTTTTCAACATATGAATGAAGCTACTTCAAAAAGTTTGTGGAAAAAATGGAGTTAAAAGATAATATACATCTTTCCATGAACTTTTGAAGACCCCTCTTACTAGTTTTCATATCTGAAGTAACATTTCCTAAGCTCTGTTTTCTCTTATTTCTGTGGTCAAGTAAGTTGGGGAAAAACTGTGTACTAGGAACTCCATGTTGCAAAAATCTCATCTGTGCATGTTAGCATATTAAAAGTTGTTTAAACACAGTTGTTGCCTGTCCTGCCTCCCTCATGTAAACAGTGTGAGGCACTTAGTGTCACAGAAGATTCTTGTGTGGAGCCAGGATTGAGTTACTGGATTTAATTTAGCTGTTCCTGGGTATTCTTGAGCAAGCAACAGTTTGTTCACAGGCATCCCTGTTACACCAGTTGGGAAGACTTGATATTTACATGATGCTGGGTAAGGTCTTAGGGACTTCCAGTCTGTTCTTTAGTGAGCACAGGCAGGCAGTGAAAGAACTAGGAGTCACTGCTGCTGTGGCACCTTGAGAATGAGCTTCTTCCAGTTCTGGTGTTTCCTTCTAGGCAACGATGCCAACAGGTAGGACAGGTAAGATATCTTGGATATACAGTTGTCCTGTCATCTATATTGACTGATTGAAATTATTGATGAAAAAATGAAAAGGGTCAGCAGCATCCAGAGACCCTCCTGAAGTCTGCGGTCTCAAATCAACCCGGCCACAGTTTTGTTTTTGTTTTGTTTTGTTTTTTGTGACCAGTAAGGGGATTGGAGCCCTTGGCTTGGTGTCGCCCGTGCCGCACTCAGCCAGTGAGCACACCGGCCATCCCTATATAGGATCCGAACCTGCAGCCTCAGCGCTCCCAGCGCCGCACTTTCCTGAGTGAGCCACTGGTTCAGCCCCCCAGTCACAGTTTCATTTCCTTTTTGGTGCAGACCTGTCAGTCCATCCTAGATCTTTGCTCCAGGTGGAGCCAACTAGATCACATGACTTGCTATTGGACATGGGGTTTTTCGTAATATGTAGGGTGAGGTTATTTGCCAGGGTAAGTGGTGATGCTTGTGTAGTTTTGGCCTGAAGGCCTTAACCCTAGTGGGTTAAACCACTGTGTTCTTGGCTCACTTCCCTTGTGGATTTTCACTTTTTTCTCCTTGCCTGTAAGGTCAGAGTGAGCTGTGCCATTTCTTTTTCTTTCTTTTTTTTTTTTTCCTTCTTAACATAGAGTTTTATTTATTTATTTATTTTACTTTATCAATCTACAGTGTAGTTGATTTTCATGTCCCTTTAACAATTCTTCCTTCCCATCCTTCCTTTCCCCCTTCCCCTCATCAACATCATATCTGTTTACTTGTCTTAACCAGTTCAAGGAATCGTTGTGATTGCTGTGTCTTCTCCCCACACCTGCCCATTTATTTGTTTGTATTTATTTTTAGCTCCCACATATAAGTGAAAACATGGAGTATTTCTCTTTTTGTGCCTGGCTTATTTCACTTAATATAATTTTCTCAGTCCATCCATGTTGCTGTGAATGGTAGTATTACATTTTTTTTTTTTTTTTTTTTTTTTTTTTACAGCAGAGAAGTATTCCATTGTGTGGATATACCACATTTTCCTTATCCACTCGTCCAATGATGGGCATTTGGTCTGGTTCCAACTGTTGGCTATTGTAAATAGTGCTGCAGTAAACATGGGTATCCCTTCGAAATGATGATTTCCATTCCTCTGGGTATATACCCAGCAGTGGAATGCCTTGATCATATTGTAGATCTATCTATAATTGTTTGAGGAACGTTCATACCATTTTCCTTAAAGGCTGCACCATTTTGCAGTCCCACCAACAGTGTATGAGAGTTCCTTTTTCTCTATAACCTCGCCAGCATTTATCACTCTCAGTCTTCTGGATATTAGCCATCCTGACTGGGGTGAGATGGTATCTCAAAGTGATTTTGATTTGCATTTCCCGGATAGTGAGTGATGTTGAGCATTTTTTCATGTGTCTGTTGGCTATTTGTATGTCTTCCTTTGAGAAATGTCTACTCAGCTCCTTTGCCCATTGTTACTTGTTTTTTTACTTTTAAGTTGTTTGAGTTCCTTGTATATTCTTTGTCAGATGTATATTTTGCAAATATTTCTCCCACGCTGTTGGTTGTTTTTTTGCTCTTAAGTGTTACTTTTGTTGTACAGAAGCTTTTTGGTTTGATATAATCCCATTTGTTTATTTTCCCTTTGATTGCCTGTGCTTTGGGGGTCGTATTTATGAAGCCTGTACCCAGACCTATTTCCTGGAGTGTCCCCTATGTTTTCTTTAAGGAGTTTTATTGTTTCACATTGTATATTTAATGCTTTAATCCATTTTGGGTTGACATTTCTTTAGAACTTGACAACTTCTTTTAATTTAACCTTGATAACTTTGTCTTCTCTACAACAGCATGTCTCTAATCAATTATGACCAACTCAGTACATTTTCATTTCCTTTCTCTGTAATTATGACTTTTTAATGAATCCTCAATTCAATGATTTTACATAGTACAAAATGGAATAAAAAAATGATACCATCTTTTACTCCACATCTGTGGACTTGATGCCATTATATTTTAGGTAAGCAGTTTATGATTCATTTTATGTGAATTGTGGCATATCCGTAGCAGATACTGCTTTCGTTTTAAGTATTGGTGTGGATTCTGTGACTTGGTCATAGATGAAGACAGAAGGATGCTTACCAAATGAGATCTGCAAGCATCACACAACAGGGTTTCTAAGTTGAATTATAGCCCCTTATCTAAAAACCTGAAATTCTAACCCTTTCTCAATCTAGCAGTTACTGCTCATGTGCAGTTTTTATCGCATGGTATATTAGCTTCCTGTAGCTGTCACCAATTACCTGAAACTTAGTGGCCTAAAGCAGCAAATGTGTTAACTCACAGTTCTGTAGTTGTTCATTGGGCTAAAGTCCTGGTGTCAGCCTGGCTGTATTCTTTCCTGGAGACTCTGGGAGGAAATCCATTCCCTTGCCCTTTCCAGCTCCTAGAGGCTGCCTATACTCTGTGGCTTTTGGTTCCCTTCTTGCATCTTTAAAGCCAGCAGCACAGCATCTCTTCCTCTGACTCTCCTGCCTTCCTCTTCCACTTAAGGACAGTTGCGATTACATTGGGCCTACCCAGGTAAGTTCACTGGTTCAGATCCCCGTACTGGCCAGCCACAAAAACAAACGAAGAAACAAAACACTAATTTTGCTATTTTAAAGTCCGCTGATTTAAAAAAAAAAGTCTGCTGATTAGCAACCTTAATCCACCTTTGCCATGTGAACTACCATATTCACAGGTTCTGGGATTGGGACCTAGACATTCTTGGTGGAGGGGTGAGGGGGTGGCATTGTGCCTCCCACACCTGGACTTGAAAGTCAAGGTTTTCATTTCTCAACTTGGCCACCTAGCAATCAAGCCATATTTGGTAGGGTTAGGGTTAGGGATTGTTAAGTTTAGGGTTAGGGATTGCTAGGGTTAGGATTAGGGATAGGGGTTGGGGTTAGGTTTGGGTTTCAGAATTCCTTGAAGATACATGCAAGTTCTACATGGTTGTGCTTTTGCTCATAAAGTTAAATTTTGTTCAAAGCGGTTAAACTGCTCTGTCTTTTTCTCAGAGATATGAACAGTATATTCTGCCATGTGTGCAAGGCCTTTCCAATGTGCTTTTCCCACAGTGCTGCAAAGCCGAACTCCTTGGAAAATGGGCAATAACAGCTCTCTGGAGTAGGGCCAGAAAGAAACAGTGGATGTTCTCTTGCAAAAACCCTGAATCAGAAAGGAACCCATAAACAATATGCAGACTGACTCTGAAAATGGGCCGTTTTACGTTCCCTAATGGAAGGACAGCTTGCTTGTTCATGGATTTATAGCAACAATGTGATGTCATCAAGTGAATATGGCCAGAAGCCTCACAAGTATCAGTATACAGTGGGGGTGGGGGTGGAAACATCCTATTCTCACCAAGAAGCTGGTCCCCACCCGAAGTTGTCTTTGCCTTAGGGTGGGGCAGATGTAGGAAAACCCAAGTTGTTAGTGTTACTGGGAATGGGACAAGGGAGGTGAGGAATTACTGGAGCCATCCATCTTAGGAAAGGATTTGAGAAATATAAAATTAGTTTATTTAGAACATAAGAATGACGACTACAGCCTAAATCATCTCTCTAATTCTTGACTTATCCAGTGAGTAATGTTTGATGCTCCACAGTAAAGTGAGAATGATACCTACAAAGTCCAGACACGTGTAGGGAACATTCATATTTCATGGGAAAAGGATATGGACAGCATGAGGTGATAATATAGAAGCATGGCCTTATTTTATTTTAAAATTTATATACAGAAATATTTACTCTTTGGTAGATCTAAAAATGTGACAAAAGTAAAAAGTCACGTAACTGTCACCACAAACAAAACAACACTTCTGTGATCTGGAAAAACTCCCTTTGCGGTTAACACCTCTCCTCACCCTCAATTCTTTGCAGTGTTCCTTCAGTTTTGCCTTTTCTAGAATGTCATTTATGTGCAGTCATAGTATATACCCTTTTAAAGTTACATACTGTATGCATTTGAGATTAATCCCTATCATTGCATTGTTGCATTTTGTTGCTTTGCCCCCCACGGATTTGTCACCCCACTTCACCTGGGTGATGGAGACGCAAAGGATCACTCAAACCCATTTCTTCTGAGCAGTGAGGGGCGCTGAAGCGGTTAACTTCCCTTGGGAATGCTCAGGCAAGACGCATCCCTTTCTTGGGAAATTAACCCCAAATTGGGCTTTTCTTCCTGCATTTATTTTTCAGACCAGGAAGAGAAATAGGTGGGGTTTTGCTAAGCAGTTTAACAAGCTTTAACAATAGAAGCTGGTAATATTCAGTGAAACAAGTCAGATGACATTCCATCAGGCAATAAAATGACTCACTAACAAAGGCCTAATTTAGCAAACATTCCTTCTCCCTCTAGCAGTTTTCCAGCAACTTAGATATCAATCAGTAACTAATATGTCTTTGAGCCCGCAACCTTGCTGTGCCACAATTCTTATCTTGCAACAGAGACTCAATAGCCTGGGGAAAATTTCCTGTCCTTGCAAGGTCAATATTTGAAACTGCAAGGCTTTGGAAAACCAGGCCCTGTGAGGTACATTTGTTTTATGCATACTCCACATTGCATGCATCAATATTGTATTTATTTATCATAACAGTAATATTCCATTGTGGGTACATCACAGTCTATTGATCTAATCATCATATAGAGTTCAACATTATATCTGATTGATCTAATTGCTTGTAGAACAAAACAATACATTTATAAAATACAAATTATTTTCAAGAACAAAATGGCATGTTTATAAAACTGACCATGTATTATAAATATCTAATGTCAATTTCATTCAGATCAATTTTTAATCAAACAATACAATAAAATAGGGAATGATATGTTTAAAAACATGTTGGGAACTAGAGGACATGTTTCTAAGTAATCATGGTTCAAATAAGAAATTTCTAATATAAAAAAATAGACAACAATGGGATTTCATTTATTAAAGTAGTAAATAGATAATTGCAGTGCACTTATAAAATGCAGAAACATTAATCACCCAAATTAATAAATTAACTGGATCAGTTTACTCTTTTTGCAGGCCAACATATGAATTGAGGATATTATGTTGGTATTTACAAAATAACAAATTTTGTGTTACATTAAAAATGTAATCATAAAACTCGAGTTGTCTTTTTTTTTTGGTAACAGGTCTACTAAGGAGAAAAATGCAATTACTTTTTTGAGAATACAGTTTCACTTAACTGGGGTTCAAAGTAAGTGTTTCCTACAACCAAGTTGATGGCAAATGTTCATACATAAAATACTTCCTTAGTGTGAAGGTTGTACAATAGCAGGTGGTGGGCCAGATTTTGACCTACGGGCCATAACTTGCCAACCTCTGAGCTGGATCAGCATGACATGCAGTGTAAACACATCTTGTCAAAGGAAGCAAACTTATTGGTGCTATTTATGTAAATTATTTTAAAAATCAAAACAACATTATTTATGGGTTTGGATATGCAGTATGAGTATAACAACATGGACAGGAAGGACATATATCAACTTCAGAACAGAATGCAATTTCTCAGGTTAAACTCGCAACTCCAAGATTTCTATACTAGAATCCTCTTCTGGGCTCTGGATATAGACTCAAAAAACTGCTGGATATACTAACTAGGGTTGGCCACAGGAATTTTGAATTAAATATATCCAAACATAAATGAATCATTTTCTCTTCCCTACGTCTTACGCAGCTTCTTGACAAATTATTCTCTTACTCCATGTTGATGATCTTAATAAATAATACCACCATCTTCTAAGTTGTTTCCGTCTTGTCTTTTCCTTTCCAAATATTACTGTTATTTCCCAAATTCAGGCTCTCCTCATCACCATTCCCCACCTCTTTCCTCTTTCCGCTATTACCGTCACTAAGGAAGCCTCATACCTTGTGTTCCTGAGAGAAAGCTTTTCAAAACCCAAATGTGATCCTATCTTGCCATTTCTTCAAACTGATATCTTCCCCATCCCAGATAGGATAAAATATAAACTCCTTAGTAGGTCTTAAAAGACTTTCTGGGGGCCGGCCTGGTGGCGCACTGGATAGTGCGCCACTTGGGAAGCGCGGCGGCGCTCCCGCCTGAGGGTTCGGATCCCACATACAGACCGGTTCCCGCTCACTGGCTGAGCGAGGAGCGGGAGCAACACCGAGGGTTGCAATCCCGTTGCCGGTCCCCGGTCCGGTACGGGGGCAACACTGAGGGTTGCGATCCGTTGCCGGACACGGAAAAAGACAAAAGAAAAAAAAAAAAAAAAGACTTTCTGAATTTTTAAGTTTCTTAACTTTTAAAAGTTTGATTTTTAACTCAATTATTTTTATCCTGCCTTTTAATTTTCTTAATTCTTTACTTTTAACACCCCCCACCTCCCCCCCATACACACATTTACACTCCACAGTGTGGTCTCCAACTTCCTATGGTGACTTACCCCTAACAATAATACATTTTGGAATTATTCCCCAATATATTTTTATTTATTTAAAACAAAAACATTTATATATTTATATTATTAAACATGCTCAAAAAAATAAGATGAATAAAATGTGACTTTAAAAAGTTTATGCTTTTAGTATTAACAGCACACACAGAGCTTTTTGTCCTAACTAATATATTAATATTGGCTAAGATACAATGTTTTTAATGAGAGCTAGTTGATGGTGTCTGCTGCTGCTTTAACAGGTTGCACAGATGCTCTGCCTCCATCCTGCTAATAAAAAGGGGACTCAGTACTCCTGTCTAAGGCAACTCCTTCAATTTCCAGTCTTCTCTCCTCTAATCAAGTTATACCTGCTGCAATTGTTCGTAATTTTTCTGGATTGACATTTTTTCCTCCATTTCTGCTGAATTACTTTCATCAGCATTCAAACATTCTGTAAGACCTTCTATGTGGAAATAAAATAAATAATTCTGTGACTTCTGTATAGCCCAGTATCTGTACTACCCTTTACAGTAAAGCTCCTCCAAAGAGGTTTCTGTCCACATTCTCTTCATTACCTCCATTAGCTTGACCACTGCTCCACTGAAGTAGCTCTTGCCAAGGTCACTATGACCTTCATGTTTCTAAATTCATCGGCTAATTCTTAGTCCTCCTTGAACTTGACCACCCAGCAGGCTTTGACATGGTTGGTCATTCCCTTCTTGACATCCTTTCTTTACCTGACTTCCTGGGAAATGACTTTCTCAGTTCTTTCCAAACCCACTTCCTGATCATTTGTCTACTTTGCTGATTCTTTATCTTCTCTCAGACGTCTGAATGACAGAATGCACTAGCATTCAATCAGGCTTGGAATTTATACTTTTGCCCTAGTTGGTCTCATCCAGGCTCCTGGCTTTCCATCTGAATGTTGATGTACACATTTACATCTCAAGCCTGGTCCTCTCCATTGGGCTCTAGATTATTCTGGACAAACACTGTCTCAGCCCCTCCACCTCAATGTCTCTCAGGCATCTCACATTTAAGAGGTCCAGACCAAATCCCATATTCGTTACCACCATGACTCTTCCTTTATTTGTTGCCATATTTGTAAATGGCAACTCTAACCGTTCCTCTGTTCAGTTTAAGAGCTCAGTCAAGTTGGAGACATCCTTGACTTCTTTTTTGTTGTATAAATAACATCTTATGTATCAGTAAATCCTTTTGACTCTTCCTTCAAAACATCCTACTTCTGGAATCTGAGCAATAGCCTTCACCATCAGTGCTGTTATGCTCTAAGTTAGCATCACCCTCACATGTATCAATGCAGTAGTCTGCTACCAGTTGTATAAATAACATCTTATGTATCAGTAAATCCTTTTGACTCTTCCTTCAAAACATCCTACTTCTGGAATCTGAGCAATAGCCTTCACCATCACTGCTGTTATGCTCTAAGTTAGCATCACCCTCACATGTATCAATGCAGTAGTCTGCTACCAGTCCCCTTATTGTCCCCACAGAGTCTGTTCGTCACACAAATCTCAGAGTCATCCACTTTTATAAGATAAGTCAGATTATGTCTCTCTTCTGTTTGAAATCTTCTAATTCTCGTTACCACCACCTCACCACCCCCACCAATGGTTTACAAATTTGTACATGACCTTGTTTCACTCTCCTTTGTCTGTATCTATTGGTAGTATCTCACTTGTAGGCTCAAATCCAGACATACTGGCCTCCTTGCATATCCTTAAACATATCAGGAACATACATTCATTTGTTCTTCCCTCTGCTTAGAATGCTTTTCTTCATGCTATCTGCGAATATGGTTCCTTCATTTCTTTCAGGGCTCTGCTCTCTAAGCCTTCATTGATGATACGTACCTTTCCACCCACAGCTTTTTCTATTTTCCTTACCCTGCACATCATTACCACTTTACTGATGTATGCACATGTGTGACTCAGAAAATGGCTCTCCAAAGTGTGAGTCTTTGGCATTCTAAGTATGACATTGGAAGACCTCAGAAGCAGCCACAGAACCAAAGTCTCTCTGACTTTCTTCTGCCCTCCTGTCTCTTGCCCCTCATTCTCCTGTGAAGTGAGTCACAGAAACCAGAATTCCTCTTCACCAAGGCAGGTCACAAAAATTAGAATCCCTCTTCCTCAAAGCCAGACATAAAATATTGCGTTATTACTCTAACCTTCCCCCACCTTTCCGTCTAGGAGGTGACCATAAAAAAAATTCTCTGACCTACCCTTGTTTGACAGGTCATCAGATCCTCATTGCACACGAGTCTTCCCCATACGTGAGAGGAAATGCTACAACAGAGTACGAGGAACCAGAACAGACAGGCCTTGCTGAGCTTCTCCATTCAGTCTATTAGCTTTAGATCATAGTCTTTTTGTCCAGTTATATTTCTACATGGCTGTGCATTCTTCATTAAAACTTAAGCATAAAAATGGATGGTTTTTTCTGTATCTTTGGGTCTTCATTTTGACAAAGGCTCTCATGTCACATAAAACTGATTAAATAAATTTGTTACGCTTTTGTCCTGCTAACCTGTCTTGTGTTATAGGAGTGTTGGCTGGGGAGAAAAGAGGTCATCACTTTCCCACCCCTCATAGTATGTATATTTTAAATTGTTTGTGCATTGTTTATCTACCACTACCAGAATATAACCTCCATGATCCAGGGACTAATTTGTTCACTGTTGTGTCCTCAGAATCGACAATGACACACCAATTCACACAAAGAGATTGACAGAGCATTGTTGGTGACCGGTTCCCGAGGGGAGATGG